GCCAAGGCAGGAGGATCACTTGAGTTCAGGAGTTGGAGACCACCCAGAGCAACGTAGCGAGACATTGTCTTTACTAAAATTAAAAAATAACAACCAGCTGTGGTAGCTACTTGGGGGCCTGAGGCAAGAGGATCACTTGAGCCCAGAAAGTCAGGGCTTCATTGAGCCCTATCTTGCCACTGCACTCCAGCCTGGGCGACAGAGTGAGACCCTGTCTCAAAAAAGGAAAAAACCCACAAGTCATTATATGGAAGATTTATTTAATACAGACATATTTGTAGGTAAAAATTAAGTCAAGACTTTTTATAATGTCAAAAAATAATCATAGCTAAAAGTTTGGAGTATGGCCTTCATATTCGCCACTGTATATATAAACCTGTGTTTTAAATATAAAGGCCATCATTCAACATGTACATTTTTCTACGTCAGTAAAGTTCTGTCTCATCTTTTATCACTACTTAAAATTCATTATGTAGATCTACCATAATTTATTTATTTATTTTTTTATTTATTTATTTTTTTTTGAGACGGAGTTTCGCTCTTGTTACCCAGGCTGGAGTGCAATGGCGCGATCTCGGCTCACCGCAACCTCCGCCTCCTGGGTTCAGGCAATTCTCCTCCCTCAGCCTCCTGAGTAGCTGGGATTACAGGCACGCACAACCATGCCCAGCTAATTTTTGTATTTTTAGTAGAGACGGGGTTTCACCTTGTTGACCAGGATGGTCTCGATCTCTCGACCTCGTGATCCACCCGCCTCAGCCTCCCAAAGTGCTGGGATTACAGGCTTGAGCCACCGCGCCCGGCTACCATAATTTATTTAATCAACTTTCTGATGATGTGATTTAGGTTGTTTCTAAATTTTTTTTTTTTTTTTTTTTTTTTTTTTTTGAGATGGTGTTTCACTCTTGTTACCCAGGCTGGAGTGCAGTGGCACGATCTTGGCTCACCACAGCCTCCGCCTCCTGGGTTCAAGCGATTCTCCTGCCTCAGCCTCCCGAGTAGCTGGGACTACAGGCATGCACTACCATGCCCAGCTAATTTTTGTATTTTTAGTAGAGACGTGGTTTCACCTTGTTGACCAGGATGGTCTCAATCTCTGGACCTCTAAATTTTTTTTTCTAATATAATTACTTGACCAATTATCCTTAGGATAAATTATTTCTGGGAATAAAAACTATTAAGGCAAAAATATACAATTTTTGAATTATAAAATTTTATTTATAACTTTTATGAAATTGAACTAGAAGCTTACACCAGTTTATAATCCAGTTTGTATTCCAACCAGAAGCTTGCACCAGTTTTTATTCCAGCCAACAATGAAGTGTCCATTTTGCCACACTGCCTTAGCATTTCTAATTTTAAAAACATTTCTGCAAACCTGATAGGTAAAAATATTTTATTTCTATATTCATTTCTTTGGTTATTAATGAATTTGAACATCTTATTGTAACATTAGAGCAATGTCATTTAAAAGGAACTAATGATTTTTGATTTGCATCTTTTTTCTTGGGGTTATGGTAGCATTCCCCATACGAAAATTTGCAATTTGAAGTTATGAAGTCAAAACAATAATTGAGATTATGGGTTTAGCACCTCTTTCCTTAAATGTGTGTGTTCATCCACATACTTTCTTGAAATTGTGGGAAGAGAATGATCCTTTTTTTTTTTTTAACAGACCACAGAGAGACTGATCCTTAACAGTTTCTAGTAAGCAAGTGTTGGAAATAGATCTGTGTTAACTCAGTGAAATAAGTATAAATTATTTGTTTTCCTCATTTAATACAAGTGCCATCTAAGTATTTTTCAACCTTTTTAAAATTGCCTCCAAGGGGCTTTCTGCCATGATACTTTGATACCATAGAAACACTGTTTATCTGTTGCATACAGTAGCCCTTTGTAGGGCCCCAAATGTTTTAACAGCTAAGATTTTGATGGTCCTTCAGAGAACCAGTTTTTTTCTTCTTAGAGACAGTGCTGCTGTCATTGAGAATGCACATGTGTATTGATATTTGGGGGAGGAGAGGGAAGAGAGGGAAACAGCTTTACTATGCATGAACAGTTACCTGGATTTCATAGGACTCATAAGAGGTTAGTGTTTCTGTTGCTTTGTCAGATTGTCCAGAAGGGAACATTAGGATTAATAGTTGCTACAGTTACTTCACCAGTCTTATCACCCAACTCTCAACATGGTATCTTAGAGTCCCTAAGTTACCTAAAATATTCTAGGTATAGTAATGCCATTTTTGAGAATGTTGCTATGCCAAGGACATAGTGACATAATTGTAGTTGAAGACATTTTGTTGAATTTAGGGAACAATAGCCCGAATGCATTAGGAGTCATTGTAAATGTTCAGACCTTTATCCTTGTGGTTCTCAAACAGTGATGATTTTGCCTCCAGCAGGACATCTGCAATTTTGGTTGCCACAACTGGGTGCATGAGTGTTCCTAGTGGCATCTAGAGGGTCGAGTCCTAGGATGCTACTAAACATCCTGCAGTGCAAAGAACAGAGTCCCCCATTGCAAAGAATTACCTAGTCTAAAGTACCAGCACTGAGAGACTGATAAACCCTGCTCTGTCTTAGTGATTGTACTTCTTGGAATCTAGCTTTAGAAAATCATTCAAGTAATATTGCTAGGATTTTGGTGTATGTGTATTTTTTTAAGTGGGACGTATACTTTGTATACGTAATTATGAAAAATGGGAAACAAATTTAATTTGAGTTGTAAGAACAACACATATCAGGACCTAGAGTAATTTCAGCAACACTGAAGAATTGCACACCATTTGAGAGAAAATTAACTCACCCATTTCAGCAATTTCTTTTTTGAAACAGTATCATTCTGTCATCCAGACTGAAGTGTAGTGATGCAGATGCAGTTCACTGCAGCCTTAACCTCCTGGGCTCGGGGGATTCTCCCACTTCAGCCTCCAGAGTAGCTGGGACTATATAGGTGTTCGCCACCATGCCTGGCTCATTTTTGTATTTTTTGTAGAGATGAGGTGTCACCATGTTGCCCAGGCTGATCTCAAACTCCTGGGCTTAAACAGTGTGCCCACCTTGGCCTCCCAAAGTGCTGGGATTTACAGGCTTTAGCCACTGTGCCCAGCCTCAGCAGTTCTTTCTATGACACTCTTCAACTTCTGTTTGCTGACCTTGGGTTAAATACAGTATAGAGAATCATCTACCATTATCAATAGCCCTTTATTTCTTAGAAGAAATAAAAGTATCTCAAAAATGCAGCAATTTGTAAATGAGTTAAATTTAGTATGGGTGCATTGAATGTTCTTTATATTATTCTCTTTTTCTGTGTTTTTGAAATATTGCACGATCCCATTTTAAAAGTATTGTACTTTTCAAATTTGTTCATGTTTGAGCTGAGGCCATTTATATCAATAGTTTAGCAATGTATATGTAATAAAATAGCAATGAATGACTGTTACAACTAGAGCTAGTTAACAACAGCAAATAAAATTATTTCCAAGGGCTTTTTTCTCTGTTTGGAATGTTAAGTACTTTCTGAACGTATTCAGGGTGTACTAAATGTTAAAAGGCAAATGGTTTTTGAAGTTTCTTGAGCAATAATTGGGGTGATTGAGTATGGCTTATAGTTCCATAAGATGGCAAGTTGGTGATCCTTTTTTCTCTTCTAAGTTAATGTGGAAAAACATACATTTAGGAAGAAACTATATTATGCATTAAGATTTTAAAAATCAGTTTATTTCTTATTTTAAAAATGTCTCTCATCCTCTTCATAATGCTATTATGGTATGCTTATTTCACAAATAATGAATATTGCAAAATGTTTTGTTTTGGAAGAATTATTTATTACTTAAAACCTAGTACCTGTTGCATTTGCATTCAAATTTTTAAATGTTTTTTCCTCTGAGATTTTAGACATCTGGCCTTTAGATTAGGAAAGGGTACTTTTCAACTTTGTTCCCAATAAAAATAAATAGTAAACTTAACATGATTGTTTTTATAAGACAAGCGGCACTATCAACATATGTATAATTAAGCCTGGCTTTCTCTAGCTTGTGCCAAAACTGTCTTGTTATTAAAGAAAACTCCTTTATGCAGATCTCTGATAACTTATTTTAATGGAAGGAATTTTACTTGAGTTTATGGCCATTGCCTTCTGACAAAATCTTTACTAAATTATATAAGTGTTTGATGAAAGATACTCTATCAGATTGTATTAAAAGAAAATTATTTTGGATTTTGGGGTCCTACTGCTATGGAATAGATTTTAAGGAGATGCTGGTAGTCATTAATTTGCTCTACTGGATTGTTAGAAATTTCTTCTAAGTAAAGAAAACATTGTATAAAATCATCATGTAGTGAAGACATTTAAATTTCTGTAATGGATTCAATATTTTGAGCATTTGATTTTTTTTCTAAAAAGGAAGCATGTCAATGTCTCTAAATTTAGATACATTAAATATAGTCATTTTTCTAGAATCAGGCATTTAGTGAATTATTGCTGTTGATCCTGTGTCAAACCAAAGTTTAGACCTGAAAGCATAAAGACTGTAGCTCAAAGTGCCTTCTGCTTAGCAACCAGCTTGTTGTCTACTGTTTTGCTACTGAATGCACGTACTCATGCCTCAGAAGTGTATCTGCAGCCAGCTGGACTCAACCGGACAATACTTCATTCACCTAATTTCCAGACTAGTCAAGCAAAGACATCAGCTCATTGTATTTAGTCATGAGGAAATTTATTTGTAAACTTCAAATAGTAGCACACTGCTCTCAAAAGCCCCTGAACTATGAGAAATTGCCTTCTAATTCAGAAATGTGAAGTCCTTGGAATTTAGAATTGCTTTCCTTTTTTCTTCTTTCTTAATAATCCTTGCAAGAGAAATTAGCTCTTCATAGAAAATATGTTAAATTCTAAGAATAATTTTAGAATTATCTTAAAGTAAAAATTCAGAAAGTTCAATTTGCATACGTACTTTTATTATATACCTTGATCCTAACATGATTATTTTCTCTCTTAGAAAACAACAGTTTTGTTGGCATGTGAAGCTCCAGTTTCCTCAAAGTCAAGCTGAGTATGTAGAAAAAAGGTATCCCTGCTATCTTTCAATAACTGATTTGTTTTAATTTTAAGGCTGTGTATTTAAAATAAACTGTTAATGTCAGTAGTAGAATGGATAACTGAATTATGGTATATTTATACAATGAAATGGTAAACATCACTAAAAATGAATGAGCTACAGCTGTGCACATCAACGTGCATGAATCTCAGAAATAGTGTAAGAAAAGCAAGTCAAGAAAGGATGTATAGAACATGATTCTGTTTGTAAATAAAGGGGGAGAAAGCCAGAAAACGAAATAGTGTACTTTTAGGAATACCTACAAAGGTGATAGAACTCTAAGGGAAATTATTAACATAGAAATCCTCATGATAGTTTCTTTAGCAGGGTAGCAAGTATTAAGTAGAGGCATCCAAGAATTAGATGGCTGAAAATTTCCTATTTCTTAAGCTGAGTGGTTGTTAAGGAGATGAAAAATGACCCTAAATTCTACCATGCAAAGATTGCTACAATTAACGTTATAATGTATCACTGAGAAAGTATATTATTTTAGATGTATATGTGTGTACTTATTGGAATTAATTTGCATAAAGTTTTTTGTGTTATTGTTTTATATTCAAACTTGTTCTTTTCTTTTTCTTTTTTTTTGGGGGGGGGCGGATAGGGGGGTATAGGGGCAGGATCTTGCTCTGTTGCCCATGCTGGAGTGTAGTGGTACAGATCTCCGCTCACTGTACTTCAACCTCCTGGCCTCAGGTGATCCTCCTTCCTCAGCCTCCAAGTAGATGGGACTAAAGGCTCAGGACATCACACCCAGCTAATCTTGTTTATTTTTTGTAGAGGAAAGGTCTCACTATGTTGCCCAGGCTGGTCTCAAGCTCCTGGGCTCAAGCAATCCTCCCACCTCCGCCTCCCAAAATGTTGGGATTACAAATGTGAGCCGCAACACCTAGCCTATAAATGTTTTCAAGTTTCATTTATACATTTTAATGTCAGCCAGGTGCAGCAGCTCACATCTATAATCCCAGCACTTTGGGAGATCGAGGCAGGTGGATTGCTTTTGGCCAGGGGTTCAAGACCAGCTTGGCTAACATGCTGAAAACCCATCTCTATTAAAAATATAAAAATTAGGTGGGTGAAGTGGCATACGTCTGTAATCACAGCTATTGGGAGGCTGAGATACGAGAATAGCTTAAACATTGGAGGCAGACGTTGCAGTGAGCCAGGATGATGCCATTGCACTCCAGCCCGGGCGACAAGACTTTGTTTCAAAAAAGTAAACAAAACATTTTAATGTTTGTGAACAATTTGATTTCTTGTTTTAGGAAAATTTTTAACTTGCTCTTTAAGTAGTATATTTAGCATATTCCTGCATTATACGTAAACGTCCTCTCTTGTGTTGTCACAGGGATTTTAGCGAAGAACTTTGTTATTTGAAGTTGCATACAGGGAAAGGACTTATTTTATAGATAGGGGTGTATAGCCAGTAGTATATATGAATACGTATAAATGGTTAAAGAAAGTTTAAAACAGTATCTTAATTTTATTTAAACAACTTTATATATAAGTTTAAAACAGTGTGCATATATTGAGGAAAGTTGGAAAACTTAAAATGTTTTGTTTCCAGAGAAGTTAGTATCAATTTTTTAACCTGGTCTTATAAACTAGAATGGATAAACTTGAACATGCACTGAAATCTGAAACCTTTTTCAGATTTATTATTTCTGCTAATTTCAAATATATTTTATCCTGACCTCTTCTTTTCATGTTTGCATACAGGTGTGTGTTAAAAGAGTCTTCTTATTTTTATAATTGATTTATACAGATCTTCTCAAAATGTTGTTTTTTAAGACCTTGTTAAGTATGTCCAAGAACTCTTTTTGAGTTTTTTCCTAAGTAATTTTTGCTTAAAAGGATATTTTATTTTGCCAAGAGTAATATAAAAGGTCTTTGTTCAGTTATTTAAACCCGAAAAAGCCACATTAGTAATTCAAAAATAACACCTTTAGTAGAAAATTATAATTAATAATATAGCTTGTTTTTTTTCTTTGTTGGAAAGAGTACCAGAAGATAAAACTATTAATGAAATCCTAAAACCTTACATTGATCCTGAAAAGTCTGATCCTGTAATTCGTCAAAGGTATGCTTCAAAAATATTGTAACTTTCTGAAATAATTAAAAATGTTGAATAGTTATTAGAATGTGATGTGTAGTGCAATTTACTTTCCCATTTTTTTGGTGTTTACTGAAGGTCTGTGAGTATAAATAACAACAGTAGCTGACACTCATTGTTTACTGTGTTCCAGACACTCTTCAAAGCAGACAACAACAATTATGTTAATTCATATAATCCTCACAATAACTCTGAAAAGTAGATTATTATTATACCCATCCTACAGATGGGGAAACTGAGCCTTAAAGTGGTTAAGTAATGTCCTATAGCTAGTAAACAGCTAGGATTCACACCCAGACAGTCTGGAGTAAAAGTCTTTACTATTAACCCTTAAACTAAACTACCTTTGAGGTTGAACAAAAACCTCTGAAAATTAAGAGTTTCCAAGTAACTTTTAAAGACAGGAAATCCTGCTTCAGCCAAGTCTTCATAGAACTAAGTAAGGTACACTCTGCCTCCTGTCTGGAAATACAGGATGGACAAAAGTGGTTAACATAACATAGTGGAACGATTCAGTCATGGATCTCTGGGTTAAAATAGCTGTTTCTGTCCCTTATTAGCTGTGTGATTAAGAGCAAGTTACTCAATTTCCAGGCCTTAATTTTTTTCATCAGTGAAATAAGAATGACAACACTTCCTAGATAGGGTTGTTACAAAGCTTAAAAGAAATAGCTGTGTAAAATTCTTAGTACACGACCTAGCATATAGTAGGCACTGCTTAAAAAAGGAGATTATTATTAGAGTGTGAGTTATTAGTGCTCCAAGGCAGAAACCCAGTTGACTTTATTTTCACCAGATGGTACTTGCTTGGGATATGAACGAGTGCTTGGTTTGGTTCCAGAATAACCTGGTATTTAAAATTTAGACTGGGTGGATTCTAAAATGTCGAATCCAGTTCTAATTAAATCTCAGTATTTTGCTTTTGATAAAAGGTCATGCCCAAACTGAACCAGATTCATGTTACATATCAAGCAGTCTTTAGAATAGCTATGATAGTTGAGTTTCTTTCCTTATAAATAGTAATCTAGTTGTTATCATTAGTCATATACTTGGCAGTAAGACAGAGTGTCACTGAATAGGATATATTTTTTATAAAATTATATAGCCAGATTAATTTATTGAAACAGGTATTTTAAAATTTAAGATGTTTAACTGAATAGAGGAAAAAATTCTTTTCAGATTTCTGGTTAGAAAAAATCTTTATCTGCTTTTCTGTGCTTAAATAGATAAACTTTTAAGTATTATTAGGTACTCACAAATGCTTAGTCTTCATAAGAGTATCTTTATATATTAAAAATCAGCTTTTCCTTCAATATGTTTTTATTTCAGGTTGAAAGCTTACATTCGCTCTCAGACTGGAGTTCAAATTTTAATGAAGGTCGAATATATGCAGCAGAATTTAGTAAGGTAAATTGTTCCCCTCCCCATTTCTTTAAATATTTTTTAGTTCTGAAATATAATTAAGTAGCTTGATTAGGTCAAGTTATTAAACTCATCTAGCTGTCAACAAAACTTTTGCGTTTCAACTTTCAAGTCAGAATTCAAAATAATCACACTTATAGGATAAATTTGGTTGAAAAATCACCTTGCTTAGACTATTTTATTTTCTTTTCTGTCAACTGATGTAGGGGAACTAGAATATTTTAGAATACAAGCATACTTTTATTTGTTCTATTATGTTTTACTTTATTGAGCTTTATAGATATTACAATCTTTACAAATTGAAGGTTTGTGGCAACTCTACATCAAGGAAGTCTGTCTGCACTATTTTTCCAAGAGCACATGTTCAGTTCTAGTCTGTGTGTCACAGTTTGGTAATTCTTGGAGTAGTTCAAACTTTTTCATTAGCATTATATCATTATGGTGACCTGTGATACAGTAGTAACACTTTAATGTTACTACTGTGATTGCTTTGGTGCACCATGAACTGTGCCCATAAAAGATGGCAGCCTGAATAAATGTGTGTGTTGTGACTGCTCTACAACCAGTCATTCACCCACCTCTTTCACTCTCCTCAGGCCTCGCTATTCCTTGAGACACAATAATACTGAAATTAGGTCAATTAATAAGCTCATAGTGGCCTCTGAGTGTTCAAGTGAAAGGAAGAGTCACACATCTCTCACTTTAAATCAGAAGCAGAATGGTTAAGCTTAGTGAGGAAGGCATGTTGAAATCCTGTTTCTCTCCTGCTAGCCAAGTCTTGATTGCAAAAGAAAAGTTCTTGAAGGTAATTAAAAGTACTACTCCAGTGAACACAAGAATGATAAAAAATAAAAATAAAAATAAATTTTTTAAAGTATAACAGTCTTATTGCTGATAAGGAGCAAGTTTTAATGGTCTGTATAGAAGATTAAACCAGCCCCAACATTCCCTTAAGCCAAAGCCTAACTCAGAGGTAAGTACTAACTCTCAATTCTATAAAGACAGGGAGGGGTGAGGGAGCTGCAGAAGAAAAGTTTGAAGCTAGCAGAGGTTGACTTGTTAGGTTTAAGAAAAGAAGCCATCTCCATAACCTAGAAGTGCAAGGTGAAGCAGCAAATGGTGATGTAGAAGCCACAGAAGGTTATTCAGAAGATCTAGCCAAAATAACTGTTGAAGGTGGCTACACTAAAACAAATTTTCAATGTGGACAAAACAGCCTTATATTGAAAGAAGATGACATGTAGGACTTACAGCTAGAAAGGAGAAGTAACTGCCTGGTATAAAAGCTTCAAAGGATGGACTGACTCTCTTGTTAGGGGCTAATGTAGCGGTGACTTAAAGTTGAAGCCAGTGGTCATTACCATTCCAGAGATCCTAGGGCCCTTAAGAATTATGCTAAATTGGGCCCTTGTGGTGGCTCATGCCAGTAATCCCAGCAGTTTGGGAGGCTGAGGTGGTGGATCACAGGGTCAAGAGATTAAGACCATCCTGACCAACATGGTGAAACTCTGTCTCTACTAAAAATACAAAAATTAGCTGGACGTGGTAGCACGTGCCTATAGTCCCAGCTACTCGGGAGGCTGAGGCAGGAGAATCGATTGAACCTGGGAGGCAGAAGTTGCAGTGAGCCGAGACGCACCCCTGCGCTCCAGTCTGGGTGACAGAGTGAGACTCGATCTCAAAAAACAAAAGAATTATGCTAAATCTATTCTGCCTGTGTTCTGCAAATGGAACAACAAAGCCTGATGACAGCACATCTGTTCATGGCATGGTTTACTGAATATTTTAAGTCTACTGCTCAGAAAAAAAAATTTTTTTTCAAAATATTACTGCTTATTGACAGCTTTGATCCCCTTTGGGATTCTAAAGAAGGAAAGTTATAAAATAGAGCGAGTAAAGGACCTTAAAGGAAAATGAAGCACAGAGGAGTTGAATGTCTAGAGCTAGGGCATGTGAATTATATTTAAGCGTACTTCTTTGACATATTTTTTGTTTAGATTTTCATTTGGCTCTATGTTTAAGTAAGTCTTAACGTTTTGACTTGCAAGTTTCTGAGTTGTGGTCTCTAGGTATCCTGATTCCTTTCTGTGCAATGGCATAAAAGCTCTTTCCTCACCTGCTCCCTTTTGGAACATATCATCTTACAGGAATTTCTACTGCTCTTCTCAAAAACCCTGGTCTGCTAGGACAAGCTGAGATTTCCATCCACTTTGGCTCTTCATAGACTTGTAGTACACATTTCTAAGTTAAAAAAAATAAGTGCTATCTGGGCCCAAGTAATATGTCCTATATTATAAACTTTAAAATACTTAGTATCCCATATTTACCTTTTATTACAAAGAATTCTGATTTCCTTGAATTTTGGAAGAAGAGGATATTTTGTCAGTCAAGTTTGACTGGCTTAGGTGAGTGGACACATTGACCCTCAGAGGTGTTCTCTTAGCAGCCTTGTGAGACTGAAGCCATGGTCTCATGGCTTAAAACATGAGTAACACTTAAATGAACTAATTAGATAAAATATGACACATGGCAAGAGAGGAACTGAATTTGGAAGAGGAAACAGATAATAAAAGAAAGAATTATGTAATGATTGACTCGAGGTAAATTCCAAGGGAACAATGTAAATTGTTTTGTTTAAGAAAACTGAACTTTTTAATCCCCATAGTGGAAGGAATATAGATTAATAAAGTAAAAAGTGAGTGATGTTAAGAATAAGGAATACCTAAAATAGATCGATTTGATATTAAACCTCAGCCTGGCCAGGTGCCCATGGCTCATGCCTGTGATCCCAACACTTTGGGAGGCTGAGGCAGGCAGACTGCTTGAGCTCAGGAGTTTGAGACCAGCATGAGCAACATGGGAGGACCTCATCTTTTTTGTTTTTTTTTTTTTTTTTTTGAGATGGAGTTTCGCTCTTGTTACCCAGGCTGGAGTGCAATGGCGCAATCTCGGCTCACCACAACCTCTGCCTCCTGGGTTCAAGCAATTCTCCTGCCTCAGCCTCCCAAGTAGCTGGGACTACAGGCATATACCACCATGCCTAGCTAATTTTTGTATTTTCAGTAGAGACAGGGTTTCACCATGTTGACCAGGATGGTCTTGATCTCTTGACCTCATGATCCACCCACCTTGGCCTTCCGAAGTGCTGGGATTATAGGTGTGAGCCACGGCACCTGGCCTTACCTCATCTTTAAAAAAAAAAAAAAAAAAAAAAAAAAAAAAAAAAAAGATAAACCTGAGCGAGTCTCAGGACCATGAAAGTACTTTCATTCTACTTTATCTGTGGAGAAAGCTGATCTTCCAAATTCCCATATTTTGCTGTTGACTTGACTGAGTGATATATGAAAATACTATCAAAGCAAAGGAAGGAGAAAAAGGTTATGTCCCAGGTCCAGTATAAAAATTGCCATCCTGGGGGGAAGATCCAAGATGGCCGTTTAGGAACAGCTCGGAGTTGCAGCTCCCAGTGAAAGCACAGAGGGTGAGTGGACGCCACATTTTTATTGCCCACAGACCAGGAGATTCCCAGGCGGATGAGCCCTACGGGTCGCCAGCACGGCTGTTTTGGCCAGTGCGGTTCTTTTGGTTGGTGCAGCTGCTTTGCCCCACGTGGCTGGCTTGTCGGTGCCCCATCTGGCAGTTCTCCATAAAAAATACACTGGTCCGGGTGCCCTTTTGGCTGGCAATTGGAGCCACAGGAAGTCGCTCATTCTTCTGATTAAAGAGGGTACTGAACAGGGAGCCAGGCCAGGAGATTCCTGGGCAAAAAAAGCACCATGAATCTCAGCGCCGCTGTTTAGGCTGGCACAGTGAGTCGCTGCATGGGAGATCACACAGATTCCAGTGCCTTTTCAACAGGCAACTGGAACACCTGGGATAGAGTCGACTGTTCAACTGAAAAAAAAAGGCTCTGAGGCAGGGAGCCAGGTGATCGGGCTCGGCTGGTCCCACCCCCACAAAAGAACAGCAATCAGAAATTCTGGATTGAGAGTTTCACAGCAAGTGCAGCTGAACCTGGGACTGTCCAGCTCTGTCGGGGAAGGGCATCTGCCATTACCGAGACACTCCACCACTACAGAGGTAGTCCGCCATTGCAGAGACTGCCTGCCGTTGCCAAGGCAACCTGCCATTACAGAGAGAGTCAGTTAATACAGAGGTGGGCCACCATTGCCGAGGCAGTTCTAACTACACCCATATAAACAGGACTGCAGGGAAGTTCACATAGCAGCTGGGTGGAGCCCACAGCAGCTCAGCAAAGCCTCTGCAGGCAGAGCGACTAGGCTGCCTCCTTGCTGGGCAGGGCAGCCCTGAAAAAAAAAAGGCAGCAGCACAACGGAAGCTCATAAATAAAGCCCTAACTCCCTGGGACAGAGCACCTGGGAACAAAAAGTGGTTTATGAGTTCCGCTGCAGCAGACCTAAACGTACCTGCCCAGCAACTCTGAATGAACAATGGAGCTCACAGCTCAGCACTTGAGCTCCTATAAAAGACAGACTGTTTCCTCAAGCAGCTCCCTGACCCCTGTATATCCAAGAGTCACCTCATAAAAGAGAGATCAGACTGACATTCGGTGGGTATCCTTCAGGGACAAAGATAGCAGAAGAAGAAACTGGTAGCAACCCTTACTGTTCTGCAGCTGCTGCAGGTGATCCCCAGGCAAGCAGGGCCTGGAGTGGACCTCAGCAGTCCAACAGCAGAGGCGCCAGACTGTTAGAAGGAAAACTAAGAAACAGAAATAAGTTGATTATCAACAAACAGAATGTCCACTCAGAGACCCAATCCGAAAGTTAGCAACTACAAAGACGACAGGTAGATGAATCCATAAAGATGGGACGAAACCAGCGCAAAAAGGATGAAAATACCCGAAACCAGAACACCTCTCCTCCTACAAGGGATCACAACTCCTCACCAGCAAGGAAACAAGGTTGGATGGAGAATGAGTGTGATGAAATGACGGACTTGGGCTTCAGAAGATGGGTAGAAAG